ATATATATATATATAGAGAGAGAGAGAGAGAGAGAGAGAGAGAGAGATGTATAGGAGTCCTGGTCTGATGCTCTGGGTTGATGCGCTGAACTGCAAGGTTGGTTTGAACTGACAGGTCAGCAGTTCAGCTCATCAGCCACTTCTCATTCCTCAGAAACACTACATAGGGTCGCTGTGGGTCGAAGCAGACTCAATGACAATAACAACATTTTTTTTTTTTCACAATAACAAACAACAACATATATATATATACACACACACACACACACACACACATATCTGATCTCATTTGACTCGGTACTTATAGTGAAGTGGTCTTATTCATTGAGTTGCTCACTTTTGGCATCACTTTGTAGAGTAATTATGTATGTGGAGATAGTCATATGTTGACATATTCACTGTATATTTGAATTCTACCCACACCCTCAGAGAAACAATGTTCTCATTGTTATTAAGCTCAGAATATATAAGTAGCAACCTATGCACACACTGATAAATGTCCCTTTTATGTAGAGAAATATTTATATATCATTATGATTAATATAGGGAAAGACACTGACATAACTTACAGATAATGAAACTCAGGTACTAAAATACACTTATTTCTCCTATGCTTTTAAAGTGCCCTCATGTGGCACTATAGTATAAACACTGAACAAGGTCAGCAGTTCAAATCCATCAGCTAATCCTTGGAAACCCTGTACAGGGTCCCCATGAGTCAGAACTGACTCAGTGGTACTTAACAACAACAATAACATGCTTTGAAAAGTTAATTTACTTTATCTGAGATTAATGCAATCATGGATTAGGGACACAACCCTTATGCATATATAGTATATAGAAGATAAGGTGCTCTGGTTGCAAAACGGTTAAGTGATTGGCTGTTAAATTGAAGGTTCACACCCACCAGCTGCTCTTCATGAAAGATGGGCCCAGGAGAAACCCCAGCAGGACAGGAGAAGCCTATGTGGAGGGCTGCCCCCCCTGCTGAGCTGCAGCTGTAGGGGGGAGGACCTTTATTTATGAAGCTTTCCACAAGGTATCTTAGTCAACCTCTTTAGAAAAAGGGAACTAAAAGATAGTAAAATAACTCACACCAAGTCTCACCCTATTAAAATTCAAGGCAACTGAAGAGTTAGATTCCCTAAGTTCTTCACCACCCACAGAGCCTACAGAATGATGCCTCAGAGGACAAGGAAGTAAAGGACTTACGGAAAGGGGGCAAGCCAAAGGTCTGGACTGTCTCTCAGGACACTTCCCTCCACTGGGTCCTCTGCTAGGGGCTGGGTAGCCTCCTTGGAATGACAGCCTCTCTGCCATTCTCACTGTAAAAGTCAAAGAGTTAAGACTGGGTTGGACTTGTTTTGTGTTTGTACATTTTTCACACAGCTTCACCCAATAGGCTGCAGGGGCAGTAAAGTTTCAGGATAACATTGTTTCCTTGTATAATAACATTTCTAATCTAGCTAATCATGAAACATCAATTTCTCATTCACTGAGGCCCAAATCCTTGCATTAATACAGCCTACTTGGTTTTCTTTGACCCATTTGGATTTTTAAAATCAGTCACTGATTGCTTTCTATTTGGTTCCAAAATGAAATAATTAAATCCTGGGGGGGACATCTCTGTCCTTGTGCAGGCAGCTCCTTCACCCTGAACCCTTTGGTTTACTGGAGGAAGAGAACCTTCCATAGTAGAAGCTCTAGCAACTGGCTGTTGGGTGTGGCCTTCAAGTTCCTGTTCCCATTTTTCCACTTTGTTCCAGTCCCCAGACCTCTCCCCTGTCTGAGCAGACATCTGTGTTGTCTAACTCACGCACTTAGTGCAGACCTCACACAGGTGGCGTGTGTGACTGGCTGAGTATAGACATGTGTAATAACACTCCTTACTCACAGTTCTTAGCACCATTCACTCTTTCCAGTTAACTACACAACATCCCACAACTACTGTATGAGGTGTTCCCGTGTGCACGTGCCAGCACACTCAGCTTCTGAGCACAGACTCTCCGATTTAGATTATTTTCAAGTGTAGTGAATTATTGTTACAATTTTAAAATGGATTTTAAAGATACAGATTACCTTATGTTATAATTACCAGCAAATAAACACTGAAATATTCCCTTACAGTCTTCAGAAGTGTGAACAGACTCTGTACAGAGTGAAAGGAAGAAATAGAAACATATGACAATTTGTGTTTCCTTGGCTCTAATATATTTCTAAAAAAACGTTCCTTTTGTAGGAAATGGGGTGGAAAGAGCAAGGAAGACTCCTGTTTCAATAAACCAGGTGTCTAAATCTGAACAAACCATCACAGAAGGCAGCAAGCTCAGAAAATTCACTCTGAATTATATTCCAGGTTACAATTTGTGAAGAAATAGAATGTGTCCTCATAGTTTACTTCTTGTTACAGACAGAATTTCTTCAATATAAATGTCTTTCTCTGATTGACATTCAAATTAGTGATTGTTGGAAGGGAACAAAGGGAAATTCTGCAATTAGCTCATGAAGTCTGTATGTTCCAGACCCCCTCCCATAAACACACACTCCTATTTTCTCATCCCAAGATTAAGAAGTTATGCTGCCTGACAATGCACTTTACTCTTAACAAGTCTTAACACAACCTTTGCTATTTTCGTTTTCAGTTTTCTCTTCCAGAACCTGTTAGACACAAGTGGTCTTCATATGAATTTGTTCTTTCCTGATTTTATGAGCAAATGTAGGAAGAAGAGTTGGTAACACAGCAGAAATTTTACTTTTAAAGTGAGTCTCTCTAGAATTTTGTTTTTGAGAAACCCTGGTGGCACAGTGATTAAGCACTTAGTTACTAATAGAAAAGTTATAGCGGTTTTGCTTCCTTAAAAAGTGTTCAGCATTGGAAACCCTATGTGGCAGTTAGTTGTCTTCTGTCTTACAGAGGTTCTGTGAGTCTGAATTCCATTGATGGTAATGGTTATGAGTATTTTTAGATTTAATACCACACACAAAACCTTAAAGCAGCAGCATTTATAACTGTACCCTTTCATGTTTTAAATAAACTGGCAGTTTCTGAGAAAAGTTTGGATGACTTTGTGCTAAAAAGCAAATTGCAACAAATAAGAGAAATAAGAGAAATGAAATAATTGTCTCTAGAGACCCATGTATGCTTTTTTTATTATTATAAAACATTGATAAATGGAAAGATAAAAGCTCAGTCAAACTTACTTGTGAAAGAACTTTTCATTGTTGCCGCTAATGGTTTACCTAAAGCTTCCCCCTCTCAGTTAACAGGTCATTGGCAGGGGAGACAGCATTTCTCTCAAGCACTGGTGATATGACTACTTCATTTCCCAAGAGAGAGGAATCATCGCTGCCTCTGGCTCTCCCTTTCCTGGAGCCTGGGACATGGAATGTGTCCCCAGCATGCAGAGCATGAATGGCATGTAGCCCAGTCCTCACACAGACTGAGAAGCCCTCCTCCTCCTCCCCCCAGCTGAAGGAGCCCTCTGCAGTTACAGGGCTTTTGTCTCCTTGAACACCTCTCCTTTTCAAAAGTCAAGAGTTAATTATTTGGCCAATCTACAAGGAAAACCTCCTCCAAATGCCACTTCCAAAAGTAGGCTAAGTTAACACGAGTCTGATCTGATATCTGGTCAGACACAGGCCTCTTCCCCAAAGTGACCCTTTGTATTCACTTTATGCCACATCTGGAAGCCAAACCCTCTTTAGACAGAAATTACAATTGGTACAACTAATCCAGCTCTCAGAGAGCTCAAAGAACTGGCAGAGTTACATAATCAAAATTACCTCTCTTGAAAATACTTAAACACTTTTTTTGTACGCTTTCCACTGAAATCCCAAAGAACAGTCCATTTTGAACCAGAATAATTTAGTCTGACAACAGATTCTTCCTCTGTTCACAGCTGTCCCAGAGGGAGGAGCTGAAATCTGAACCTCTCAGCTGTGATTGGATCCTTCTTGCAAAAGAGAAGAGAGGAAAAAAAAAAAAAAAAAAAAAAAACCCTCCCAGCGAAAACGGGTTCAGTTTGTGAAGGAGCCCGGCAACTTCAGAGGCGCCGGTCCCTCAAGCCGCACCTGAGCGCGGCCCTAGCCCTGAGCGGCCACAATGCTATAGGGACCGGCAGCGGCCCTGTCCTCTCAGCCAGACCGTTATCCGCGACGGGGACCACTAGGAACGCCGGACCTGCCAGCAAGATGCCTCGCTCCTTCCTGGTCAAGAAGCATTTCAATGCCTCCAAAAAGCCAAATTACAGCGAACTGGACACACATACAGGTAAAATGAAAGAAAGAAAGAAAAAAAAAAATATATATATATATATATGTATATATACATCTACTTTTTTTTTTCTATCACTACTCAAATACTATTATGAAAGAGCTAAATACTAAGCTGTTTCCTTTAAAACAGTGAGTTTACAGGCTTTTAGGGTGTTTCAATTCAAAACTTTTGAAACTCTTGAAACGGACAAAAAAATCTTTGCCTCATGCCTACTCATTTCTAAAACATGTATGCATAATGAGTACACTCACATATGGAGGGTGAGTAGCATATTACATAAAATTTGAATTGCTGCTATTTTCCTGTAAAATGACTTTTTCAAACATAAAGCAGCTTGTTTTACACTTATTTTTGTCTTCACAAACATAAAACATAAGTAAGTCCTGCATAAAACAGAAAACAAAATTTCTACACATTTATGAATCAGATGCAGGTTCTTTATCACCCTTTGGGAGTGTGGAGGCCCTTACTTGGCTATGCTTCCTAACAGCAGAACATTATGTAGCTTAGAGCAGCTGTCAGATTATGTGGACATACATGTGCATGACATGTAACTATGTGGGTGTCGGAGTAAAAATGAAAGGTTTTACAAATGCTCTACAAAATGGGCTTTCCTCGTCATCATAAAGACCTGTAGGTGTTGTTATATAGCTACTTGGTGTGGTGGTTTAATTACTTTGATTGTAATTTTCTTTCCTCTTCTTTACCCTAGTGATTATTTCCCCATATCTCTATAAGAGTTACCCCATGCCGGTCATCCCACAACCAGAGATCCTCAGCTCGGGAGCATACAACCCCATTACTGTGTGGACTACAACAGCTCCGTTCCACTCCCCACTGCCGAATGACCTCTCTTCTCTCTCTGGATATCCCTCAGCCTTGGGGCGAGTTAGTCCTCCTCCTCCATCTGACACCTCATCCAAGGACCATAGTGGCTCGGAAAGTCCGATTAGTGATGAAGAAGAAAGAATACAAGCCAAGCTTTCAGACCCCCATGCCATTGAAGCTGAAAAGTTTCAGTGCAATTTATGCAATAAGACCTATTCAACTTTTTCCGGGCTGGCCAAACATAAGCAGCTGCATTGTGACGCCCAGTCTAGGAAATCCTTCAGCTGTAAATACTGTGACAAGGAATATGTGAGCCTGGGTGCCCTTAAGATGCACATTCGGACCCACACCTTACCTTGTGTCTGCAAGATCTGTGGCAAGGCATTTTCTAGACCCTGGTTACTTCAAGGACATATTAGAACTCACACTGGTAAGAGAAAAAAAAAAAAAAAGTTAAGAGTATTGTTCTCTATTAGAATGAAGCTCTGTGCTGGCTATTGGATTTGCATTAAGTAGTGACACAGTGCTATTACTGATGGATGTTAATTTATAGCTACTTCCTGACTACTCTCCAGAAGTCATTAGTACAGCAAGGGCTCCAGTTCTTGTTAACAGTCTCTGTTACAGAGACTGCAAACAACATGTAGACTTTGGAAAGTAGGTGCCGGAGGTTTGGTCTCAAAGATCAGTTAGAAAATCAGGAAAGATATATTTGAATGTGTGCTCTGTGTAATCAGCAAATACAAATGTTACTATCTTAATCAATTGATTTGGTAAATAAATGAAGAGTTTACCTATAGATTTTTGTTAATCACAATCTGGCTGTGATATCTAGCAACCCAGAGCTAGTTGGGCAGATGTAACTGATTTTGCTTTGCCTTTTTTTTAACTTCCTGTTGAATTTTTTATTTCTAACACAAAATCATCCTCTGGGGAGTCAAGTCATTTATACTGCCTTAAGTCAAAATACAGAAAGAGGGAAAAGGGAAAAGATTGGGAAATGTTAGGAGGAGCTCACCACTCACTGCACCTGCCGAAGCTGGAAGTTTCCTAAGTGAAAGCTCTACAACTACATGGATTATTTCCATGTGATTGCAGCAGTAATAATATTCTGAATGTAATGTTTTTTTTTAAACGTAACATTCAAATTTATCTTCCAGGGTCAGATATTAATCATTGGTTACAGAGAATTTTAATCAAGTCTTACTGCTTTTCATCTTTTGGAAAAATGTGATGACTATGTAAAAATATTGTTTAACTTTTAATTTTTCCTCTGAAAACACTGACGTTCTTTTTCATTCCCCCTTTTTCCGTCCCAACCTGCAGGGGAGAAGCCTTTTTCTTGCCCTCACTGCAACAGAGCATTTGCAGACAGGTCAAATCTGAGGGCCCATCTGCAGACCCATTCTGATGTAAAGAAATACCAGTGCAAAAACTGCTCCAAAACCTTCTCTCGAATGTCTCTTCTGCACAAACACGAAGAATCAGGCTGCTGCATAGCACACTGAGTGATGCAATCAATGTTTACTGGGATAGAATTCATTTCTTCAACTCCAATTCCAAATGATAGCTAAGAGTCCAAAGGCATTTTCTCTTGTGCTTACCAACCAAAAAGATGCAGAGACACAGACACAGCTGCAAATCACAAAATCCATGTGTTTAAAGTTAATCCTTTCCATGTGAAGTTGAAAATTACTGTATATTTCCTGAGAGCTAGATAGAAAGGATTTGAGAGAAGGACCTTTCTTTTCAAAGATGAAGCAAAAAACACATTGGATCTCTTTTTTATTTTTATATTTTAACTAAGGAAGAATGCAAAGATTTATTTACATTGCTGCCAAATCATTTCAACTGAAGTATTGCTTTGTAATAGAGTTTGTAATAGAATTTCCTATGGGAAGAGAATCTGCCAAACACTATCTCAGGTGCCTTGTAAAGTATTCCAAGTTTACTTCATTACATGTTTGATGTCTGTTAAACTAAGGCCCTTTTTCTTTATCTGTTTTGCTTTAAACTGTATTTTTAACCAAGGTTAAAAAATAAAGAAGACAAAGAACAAGAACAAAACAGAAATGAATGAACAAAACAGAAATGAATGTATTAAAAGTTGGCGTTTTTTGTTTTTGTTTTTGTTTTTTTTTGGGGGGGGGTGGTTTGTTGTTCGTTTTTGCCAGTAAAGAGTATGTGCCTTAGGGGAGGAGGGGAAACAAATTTTGAACATTCCTGGTGCATACTTGATCCATGTCTTACATTTTTAAAGATATTTTAATGATTTTCTAAACGTAATTAAAAATGGGAATAAGTGCAACAGAGTATTCTTGGGAACTCAGTAATGTACTTCAGATATTTTAAATGCATACAACAAATGCAATATGCCCAACAGCACCCCCTTCCAAGTGCCTTTTGCTAATTAAATGTATAGCTGATGATGAGTCAATGTAAATTTGTGTTTATTTTTATATGCCGAATGGATTTTGTATGAAAGTGAGATGTTGTCTATAGCTCTGCCTGTAAACAACCTGAAGATTTGTAAACCAATATTTCCTTTTTTTTTTTTTTTTTTTTTTAAAAAATCATAATTTTTCAAGGTCTTTTTTTTACAATAAACATTTTGGATTTAAAATCTGTTGTTTCTGTACTATTTTCAGACTTTAGTTGTTTTGTGTTTATTACCAAACTCCTATACCTTGCAATACCCGTTCTTTTATTGAAAACAGAAACTGAAATAGTGATAGTATGCAAATTATGTGTTTGCAAATTATGGAAATTATAAATTTTCCATTCTAACAAATGAAATCGCCAGGGTTTTTTTCCTTCTCTTAAAATCACACTGTTACATTCAGAAGGACTCCATCATTATGAAGTTTGTTAATGTGATAATAAAAATCACACTTTCTGAGTGCTAAAAATATTCACATGATTAATCATCAATGTTCAAATCTTCTGTTTATGGTGACTTTATTATGTTGGCTTTATGATAGTAAATTACAGTCACTCATAGGGCCACTGAACTAGTGTATGATATTTTAAAGAAATATCATCCAAGGAGGTGTAAGAGAAAAAGTAGAAAACCAGCATTAAAATATCAGGGAAACACTGTGGGTTAATGTGTTGGACTGCAAGGTTGGTTTTTGCTGTGAGGTCAGTGGTTCAAGCTCACTAGCTATTCCTTGGAAACCCTATATAGGGTCACTGTGTATCAGAACTGATTTGATGATGCTTAACAACAACAATGCAATTTTAAATATTAGATCATACAAAAACAGTTCACATCTAATGAGACAAAAGAAGCGATAGGTTTGATAAAAGTAGGAATAAATAGTGAGTCTTTGTGGTATTTTGTGCACCTTTGTACAAACACCTACTCAAACAAATCCAATATATACCTGATAAAACATAACGTGGCCCTCCATTCCATGTTTATTAAATGCTTGTGTGTTAAGTCACATGTAAAAATACTTACCACTATAGGCATTGTGACAAATAGCAAAGGCTGTGTCAATCCAAGCTCCGAATCCATGATGAGGATAGTTCCTGCTTCTGTGACACACTTCTCTCTGGTAAGCTCCAACGATTGCAGAACATCAGTTTTCTTACAATGTCCTTAAGGTACAAATAAAAGCCATTACTTGTTTCTATCTCAATAGTGATAGGACAGTATATTAGGGACGACGGCACCGATACTGTCCACTTAACACTCACAGAACATTCCACACTAGGAGATATAAATATTCCTAGCCAATATGTAAAAAGTTTTGCATTTGATTAAAAATATCTTCAATTTAATATCCTAATTTAATAATTTTATAAAGTCTTATCTTAGGACATGTTTGTCAGAGGCAAAATTCTTTGAAACAGCAATCAATGAATTTGAAAGAAATGTTTCATAGAATGACTTGGTACATGCTGAAGTTATTAAAAATGGCAACTTTCGCTAATTGTATATGCTTTTAAAATTATTGCCAAGCAAAACTACTAGAAGTTTCCAGTCAAATAATGTATCAAGATATCTTGAAAGGGAAAAATATGAATTAGTCAAGCATTGCTCAAGTACACGATTAGCTTTCTGAGGAATCACACCTACCCAGACTTAAATCATAGATCAATAGGCAAGCAGCTTCTTCGGTTTCCAAAATTCAAAACTACCATTGTCTTAAAGGATGGATTGATCCATTGGCTTAATTTCTGAGTGGAAAAAATAATAGTTGCACTTTGCAATATATTCAACTTTGTAACAGTTATAATTTAATTCATTATTAAATTATTCTATTCGCCTTACTTCTGGTGTGGTGCTGTGGATCAGCACTGGCCTGTGAACCACAAAGTCAGCAGTTCAAACCCACCAGCTGCTCCTTGGAAACCTTATGCAGGGTCATTATGAGTTGGAACTGACTCAATGACACTTAACAACAATAACTCTCCTTATGACAGCATACTGCCTAAATTAAGGCATATCAGATATTAAGATGTTCTATGTAGAAAACACTATCACAATTCAAACATTAAATTGTGCTTTTTTGATATAGTCAAAGCTAAGAATATACATGATTTTGTTGTTGTTGCCATTTTTGTCAGCCTGCCTCCATGGACCTTGAGGGCAGGTACTAAAACACAGTGATCATTGTAAGCTCAGCATCTACCAACATCAGTGCACAGAGGTTTGAAGAAGAAGAAACAACAGAAGGATCTATCCAGTAATGAGGCAGAAACAGACAAGGATTTGTAAAAGCAGTAGCCTGCTGTGCTCATAGGCCTGAAGACGAGAAAAGAGGACAAGCTGACATTTCCAAAAGGCAATTTCATATCAATGTCTATGGTTGTGATTAGAACATATATAGAACATTCATAGACCACACACTACGAAAAACACTACACACATCACACAAACACACTATACATATCCACTGCCCATATCACACACAACACACACCACACATGCCAAACATTCACCTCCACATTTGCGCACACCATCATACCACACATAATTCATACACCACACACACACACATACACACTTGCACACCATTATACATATATACACATTGTCGCACACATACTCACAACATACAACCCACTGCCTACACCACATGTAAATCATGTGTATACAACATACATACACAACAATTTCCACAAACATACCACATGTAACATACACCTTCACACACCACACATACATGTTACAAACCTCATATACCACATGCCATACATATACACACAGTTGGTTTGAACCATGTCAGTGGTTCAAGCTCAGCAGCTGCTCCTTGGAAACCCTATATAGGGTCGCTATAGGTCAGAACTGACTCAATGGTACTTAATAACAACAATATTACTGCACAGATACACACACTCTACAGGGAATCTTCCTGCATGGCAAGTGTTCAGAAGATTAGATAAGCAATCATGGTTTTTGGATATCATCAAGATGGGTGAGACCTCAAATTGGATTGGGGTGGAAGACTGTATAGGAGCCCTACATCTTGGGATTTCGTGACATAGTTTTCCTCAAGGCTTCTGACTAGTTCTCTCTCTCTTATAGTATCTAAGATGCAGCTCAAATATCACTTACTTTAAAATACCTTTCCAAATGCTCTCTTACTGTGAGTTTTATATATCATTCATACCATAACATTTACATCTTTATATTGCAGTCTTTTGTTGTAATCTCTCTCTCTTTTTCAAATAGTCAGAGAGTATCCTTAAAGCAGAAATTTCCAGACCCCAGCACATCACTAGGAACATAAACATCAATAAATGTTTGCAGAATCAGTAAAGGTTTGAAATGATACAAAGGGTTCAAAAAACACTTGCAGATCTTAAAGAATTCAACATATCCTGGTGTGGCACTGTGGGTTAATGTACCAGACTGCAAAGCCATTTGAACTGCAAGATCGGTGGTTCAAGCTCACCAGTTGCTCCTTGGAAACTATACAGGGTCACTATGGGTCAGATTGTACTCAACGGCACTTAACAACAACAAATATAGGATTATAAAAAGTTTTGGCAATTTTTAACAGGTCTTCAAAGATAATTATTTTTTATGTCCTACATTTATGATTATTGTTGTTATTAAGTGTGATTGAGTAAGTTCCAACTCATAGGAACCCTGACAAGGGATTCTGAGGTTTTAAATATTTTCGGGGGGAGAAAGCCTCATTTTTCTCTCATGGAGCAGTTGGTGGGTTTGAACCACTGACCTTGTTGTTCACAGGCCTCTTCTTATCTTATGCAGTCACTGTGTGCCCTAAGTTTATGATTGTTGTTGTTGTTGTTAAGTGCCATCAAGTCAGTTCTGACCCATAGCGACCATATATAGGGTTTCTGAGGAGCAGCTGGTGAGTTTGAACTGCCATCCTTGCCAAGCAAAAATAGTTCAAAATGACTTTGCTGTCCAGTGCATTAACCCACAGTGCCACACCAGGACTTCAAGCTTCTGATTACAGACCTCCAAAAGAGATTAGATGCCTTAAAAAGTGGAGAAGTCATAAATCTTAGACACATGGACAAGTCT